GATCCGCCTAAGCCTTCCAAGTAGCTCGAACTATAGTCGCACACCATCACACCCGGCTGATTTTTAAATTTATTGTAGAGATGAGCTCTCGTCAAGTTGCCCAGGCTGGTCTCGAACCTTTGGGCTCAGGCAGTCCTCTCACCTCGGCCTTCCAAAGTGCTAGGGTTATAGGCGTGAGCCACTGTGCCCAGCCAGGCTAATTTTTAAAAATTTTTTTGTAGACACAGAGTCTTGCTTTGTTGCCCAAGCTGGTCTTGAACTCCTGGGCTCAGGCAATTTTCATGCCTCAACCTTCCTATTGCCATTTTTTTTTGAGTTGGAGTCTCACTCCATCGCCCAGGCTTGAAGTGCAGTAGTACACTCACGGCCACCCCAGCATCAACCTGCTGGGCTCCGGTGAGCCTTCTACCTCAACCTTCCAAGTAGCTGGAACTACAGGTATGTGCTACCACACACAGCTAATTTTTGATTTATTGTAGAGATGAGGTTTCACCTAGTTGTCCAGGCTGGTCTCGAACCCACGGGCTCAGGCAATCCACTCACCTCAACCTCCCAAAGTGCTGGGATTACAGGCTGAGCCACCAAGTCCAACCTCCTATTACCATTTCTTGAAGTATATTTCCCAGAGTAGAACCTTTTAGATCTTTTGTTTTGCTTTTGCTTTTGTTTTTATTCTTAGGGGTTTAACCTCCTGTTGAGAGGACTGAAGTTTAGAAAGGCTCTGCATTTATGATTTGACCCCCGATTTTCTAAGGATTCTAGTGGTTTCTAGCAGAAAAAAAGGATTCAATTGTAGAGGCCAGCCAGACTAAGTTTGGACGTATAGAATGAAAAGAATTTTGTTTCTACCATTGAATGGCACACTACATAACCACTCTCTTGAGGAATGGTGACCCGGCCACAGGAATGGACACAGCCACCTTCCTTGGGCCCAACCACGTAAGTTGAATATGCTAACAGCCTTCCCAGGAGCATCCTCCCCCAGCCCCCAACTCTGCACAGATGATACTTTCAGTCCATCTTGAAGACTCAATATTCTTGCTGTTATTCTTAATCCAAAGTAAAATCAGTAGAACATGTTTGGAGTTGAAGTAGTGGATAGCAGATGACTTTTTGCTTTTTTTAAAAAATTGCCTATTGTTGGCAGTGTGCATGAGAACTTTTCCTTCCTCCCCCCTCCCTTTTTTTTTTTTTTTTTTTTTTTACTTTGGATGTTTTTACTCAAGATTTTATTGAGAAGCTAATATTTTCCAGGCCCGGAGCTAAAGCAGTGGTTCAGATTTTAGCTTCCCACAGGCTGGGAGGACAGAATTAGGGGTTGGCGGGCAGGAGTGAAGTTGAAGCAGGCATGCCTGAGGGGAGCTGCCATAAACAAAGTGCTGAGAAAATGCCAGAGAGGGCACCAGTGGAAGCCAGCTTTCCCTTCTGCATTTTATATTTTTAAAAGAAGCAAAAGGTCTTGTTGCTCAAGCAAGACTACACTCTCCCAGAGCGTGCAGTTATTATTGAATAAAGTACAGTTAATGATCAGATTTAATTGCGTGTCCAATCACTGTTGTGCACCATGATGATTAGGTGCACATGGCAGGACGTGTACTGAAGTTCCAGCAGTTGGTAACCTGTGTGCCATGAATCGCACTTGTCTTTTGTCTTTGCCTTACTTTACCTATAAGCAGCATGGGGTCTGTAGTCGTCTGGTGTCTGGGATGTGTCCTCAGCATAGTCCTGTGCTCCCACCACCTGTCTAGAGGTTCTGGGACACTCTATTGCACCCCTCCCTCCTCTGGGTAGCCCAGTGCTCCGATCCCAGCATCCTTTTCTCTGCTGCCTGAGGACTGAGCAGTCAGAGACAAATCTTGACTCTCAAAATCCCCAAGGATGTGGAGGATAGATAGCTCTTCTTTCCAAAAAAGTGTGTAAATCAAGGTCAGTGTGGGCAGGCCATTAGAAGGCCCATGTAGGGCTTATTCTGCAGCTGGCAAAGACTGCCTTGGTGCTTAGGCAAGAGGATATACAGCTGGGCAACTGTATACCATCTCGGGGAATCATACATTTCTGGCTTTGTTCATATTCCCTTGATCTAGAGGCTCTTCCCACCCTAAATCCCACCTGCTTTTGAGGGTCCTTCCCCAGGAAACTTGTCTGCTTACTGTTCTCGTCATGTGATGACCTGCTTTCTCTGTACTCCATACAGTTCATCAATGTTGTTGCAGAGGACAGTCTATCTGATTTGGAGTCAAGAAGATTCTATTTTCTATATATTCTGCTATTTATTTTCAGTGTTCTCAGACATCCCTAAGCTTCCAGTAATTGTTTAACTTTTATTAAGTGCTTACCATGTGGTAGGTATTGTGCTGTATATATTCTTGCTTGACTTCCTAAAATTAATCCCATTTATAGATATAATCTAGCTGGGCTCGGTGGTTCAGCCTGTAATCGCGCGCTTTGGGAGGCTGAGGTGAGTGGATTGCCTGAGCCCATGGGTTCGAGACCTGCCAGGGCAACTTGGCAAGACCTCATCTCTACAATAAATCAAAAAATCAGCTGGGCATGGTAGCGCGTGCCTGTAATTCCGGCTACTCGGAAAGCTGAGGCAGAAGGATCGCCGGAGTCCAGCAGGTGAGGCTGCGGTGGCCGGGAGTGGCCACTGCACTCCAGTCTGGGTGACAGAGTGAGACTCCAACTCAAAAAAAAAAAAAAAAAAGATATATCTAAAGGCAAGAGAGAGACGATTCAGAAAGACTGTGTTGAACAAACCATGTGTTATAATATCCCAAAAGAGAACAAAGAAAATGAAGTTGGTGTCTAGAGGAAACTCAAGAAGGATATGTAACAGTATTTTAACCTGTGGGTGCTGTGGAGGTTTATTTTCTTTTTTTCAAGAACCAGTTCTTACACTTCTTCTTCCTCCTTGATACCTGTTCCTGGGTAGAGCATGTAAAAAAATGCTGAGTAAATAAATACTACTTTCCTTGGCCCAGTTTGGCCTGATTGATCCCAGTGTCTGTAGTTCTGTCTTTGTGAGTTTCTTTATTGGTTGTTGGTGCTACTGTGCTGCTGTTAATCTGGAAAATTCCCTAGATGGGCTGTCTCTTACACTACCTGAGCAGAAGCCTCCAGGAATGGAGGATGAGGTTGTCACAAGTGTAATGGGACTATTTCCCTGGCTGATGAAGACAGCAAACGATGGGAACTGATTGGACAACTTAGTATTTCCTTCAGTCCAGCAAAGTCCTGAGTAGGTTGGGGACAGTCAGGCTTGTCGGGCACCTTTCTTGCTACTGTGCTCTAAAGCAGAGCTGCTTGGTATGGCCTGGCCTTAACTAAATTCCAGTTGGTGCCTTGCTTGCATTACTTGCTGCACAGGTCACCTGGCCCTCACAGACGATGAGCTGACCCCAGCATGCTGTGAGGAGGTGTGATCCAGCGTTGCTTGCCGAACTCAGAGCTGCTGCACTGCTGCTTTCTTTCTTTCTTGTTAAGCTTTATCTATGATGTTTTCTTTGTGTTTTTGGAAACTTTTATTTTGATACAATTCTAAATGTACGAAAAACTGTACAAATAATACAAAGAAGTCTTATATACCATTTACCCAGATTCACTAATTCTTGGCATTTGGCCTCATTTGCTTGCTTTTATGTTTTTTGAGTTGAAGTCTCACTCTGTCACCTAGGCTGGAGTGCAGTGGCACGCTCTTGGACACCACTGCCTCGACCTGCTGGGCACAGGCAATCCTTCCACTTCAGCCTTCCAGGTAGCTGGAAACACAGGTGTGTGCCACCATGCCCAGCTACTTTTTTGATTTATTGTAGAGATGAGGTCTCGCCATGTTGCTCAGGCTGGTCTCAAATCCCTGAGTTCAGGCAGTCCTCTCATTTCCACCTCTCAAAGTGCTGGGATTACAGGTTGAGCCACCGTGCCTGGCCCTCATTTGTTTTCTTACTTGCGAACATCCCCGACCCTGCATGTGTACACACTACATACTCTTCTGAACCATTTGACAGTAGTTGCAGACAGTGTGTTAAGTACCTCATTGTGTATTTCTTAGGAACAAGGACATTCTCTTATATAATCACAGTATAAATATATATATATATACATATATATATATATATTTTTTTTTTTTTTTGAGTTGGAGTCTTACTCTGTTGCCCAGACTGGAGTGCAGTGGCTGCTGCTCCCAGCCACTGCAGCCTCGACCTGCTGGGCTCCGGCGATCCTTCCACCTCAGCCTTCCAAGTAGCTGGAACTACAGGCGTGTGCTACCACGCCCAGCTGATTTTTTGATTTATTGTAGAGATGAGGTCTCACCAAGTTGCCCAGGCGGGTCTCGAACCCACGGGCTCAAACAGTCCACTCACCTTGGCCTCCCAAAGTGCGGGATTACAGGCTGAGCCACCGAGCCTGGCTATAATTATATATATATATTTTTTAAAAGCCAGCAGGTTCAATGTCAAGACAGTGATTACTTGATCTGTCAATACAATGATTACCCAATACACTGTCCATAGTCAAATTTTGTCCACATTCTGATATGGTCTCAATAGTGGCAGAGCTTTATTTTTATTTTTTTATTTTTTGAGTTGGAGTCTCACTCTGTCGCCCAGACTGGAGTGCAGTGGCCGCTCCCGGCCACCTCAGCCTCGACCTGCTGGGCTCTGGCGGTCCTTCCGCCTCAGCCTTCCGAGTAGCCAGAATTACAGGCTCGCGCTACCACACCTGGCTAATTTTTTAATTTTATTGTAGAGATGAGGTCTCGCCTGCCCAGGCGGGTCTCGAACCCGCGGGCTCAGGCAATCCACACCTCAGCCTCCCAAAGGCGCGGGATTACAGGCTGTGCCACTGAGCCCGGCTGCCAGAGCTTTATTTTTAAAGAAAACAACCCTGGGGTGCGTGGGTGTCACCTCGGGTACGTTGGCTCAGAGGAGAGTGAACTTGGCAGGTATCTGGGGAAGTGACTGCCGTTGGTGCTGCATCACCAACCCCTTGTGTCTCTGCAGGACCAGAGGAGTGACATCAGCAAGAACCGCACTCAGCAACAATGTCAGCAGAAGTGGAGACTTCAGAGGGAGTAGATGAGTCAGAGAACAACAACTCTGGGACTTCAGTCAAGGAAAACCACACTAGGTGAGTAATGGGGCTGGCTGCACTGAGTCAGGTGAGCCCAGGGACCTGTGTGTCCAGCACACCTAGTTTTGTCTGCTGGTGGCTCCAGGGAGTGTCGTGGGCTGTGAGCTGTGGAACCCCCAATGCCTGACTGACAGCCCCCTTGGCTGCTTGGTACTCTCCCCAGTTGTTCTAGTCCATTGCCTTATCCAGAAGCATGGCAGGTACTGCAGGGAGTGCTGAGTGATAGGATTTGATGGCTGTCCTTGTCCTTTTTTCTTTAAATCCAATGTGTTTTTCCATGTGGATGCGAAAAGGTAATCAGAGGCAAAGCTGGCTCCATTTCCAATGTCTTCTACCTCTTAGAACGCGGGAGTAGCTCTGACTGGAGGGCAGGCTTTTGCTTACTGTGTTGGGCCAGTTCACTCTGAGCCCCAAGGTCCCAGGCCCTGTTGTGCATTGTTCTTAGCCTCTCATTATCACCCTGTCATTGGCAAAGTGGTTTTTATACCTTGAAACAGTTGCTAATATGAACTGATTCTTAGCACATGAGTGATACTAGCTAATCTAAAGACGCCAGCAGAGGCTGGACTATGAGAAGGCCAAGTTTTTCTCACTCTAGTAGATGGATTATGTGGACATATGTGAGCTCCTGCCCAGGTACTCCCATCTTAGGAGCACATATTTTTGCCATGTCTATCCATCAGCACAACTTTATCCTGTGTAATTTGTTAAGTAGCACAAACCAAGGACTTGGCTCCAGCCTCTTGGTTGTCTCTCATTCCCCTGTGCCTGGGCCTGGCCACATGTAGTCCCGAAGAGGCTGGGGGCTCAAGGTGGGAGGAAGGCAGCAGAGCCACCCCAGGAGATCCGTGGTCACAGCCCTTTACAGAGGTGTGTGGATTCCAGGAGACATGTTCCCAAAGGCAAACTGTTCCCTGGAGAAGTCAGCAAACACAGCCAGGTGTGGTGGCTTCCAGTACTTTGGGAGATGGAGACAAGAGGATTGCCTGAGCCCAGGGGTTCAAGATCAGCCTGGGCAACTTGGCGAGACCTCATCTCTACAATAAATTAAAAAATTAACCGTCTGTGGTGGCGTGCGCTTGTAGTTCCAGCTACTTGGAAGGCTGAGGTGGAAGGATCGCCTGAGCCCAGCAGGTCAAGGCTGCGGTGACTGTGAGCATGCCACTGCACTCCAGACTAGGTAACAGAGTGAGGCTCTGACTCAAAAAGCAAAACAAAAAACGTCAGTAAACACTGGGGAAATTAATGATGTGTGTTTCTTTGACCACTAGGTGGTCACAGAAGCATAGTATTGTTCATTTGGCTGGTTCACAGCCGACACAGACATGTAGACATGTGTGCTCTTGAGGAGTAGTAGGTCACAGTCATTTTTTGTGTCCCTTGAGTCCTTGGGTCAGACAGGTTATGTCTGCTTGCTCCGTGTTCTCTGACAAGGTCCCGCCATTTGTACATGTTGGAATGAAGTGCCTGAGAAGCCCCAGCCTCCAGTCCAGCAAGTGGTCGCCCTGGGGTCTGGACTCAGGACTCAGTTTTTCATAATATGGTCCTTTCTGGGAAAGGGCTAACACACACACACACACACACACACACACACACACCCTGTTTCTCCACAGAATGGCTGACCTCTCAGAGCTCCTGAAGGAAGGGACCAAGGAAGCACACGACCGGGCAGAAAATACCCAGTTTGTCAAGGACTTCTTGAAAGGCAACATTAAGAAGGAGCTATTTAAGGTTTGTGACCCTGAATCACAGATAAGATTGAGTTCCAGACTTTCATATCGGGTTGGGTGGGAGTTACACTAAGGGAGAAGCTGGGAGTTTCTCCATGCTCCATTCTTTCTTGACATTAAGATGTGGCCCTTGTAGCTTAAAGGAAGCAAAAGTATCCATGTTCCAAAGAATTCACCAGACCACTCCTTTAAGAAATATAAACACTTCCTGGTGTGCTGAAAAATACACCATATGAAAATGGGTCATAGGATTGAGTCCTCGGGGGTTGGAGCGGTGTGTTATTTGAGCCTCTGTGTCCAGCCACGTGGACCTGGTGGGCTCAGGTGTTGCTGGCTGTGGCCCGCAGCCCTTTCCCATGGCCTCCTACTATCCCCCACAGTTGGCCACCACTGCACTTTACTTCACATACTCGGCTCTCGAGGAGGAGATGGACCGCAACAAGGACCACCCATCCTTTGCACCCTTGTACTTCCCTGTGGAGCTGCACCGGAAGGAGGCACTGACCAAGGACATGGAATATTTCTTTGGTGAAAACTGGGAGGAGCAGGTGCAGTGCTCTGAGGCAGCCCAAAAGTACGTGGAGCGGATCCACTACGTAGGACAGAACGAGCCAGAGCTGCTGGTGGCCCATGCGTATACCCGCTACATGGGGGACCTCTCAGGGGGCCAGGTGCTGAAGAAGGTGGCCCAGCGAGCCCTAAAACTCCCCAGCACGGGGGAAGGGACCCAGTTCTACCTGTTTGAGAATGTGGACAATGCCCAGCAGTTCAAGCAGCTCTACCGGGCCAGGATGAACGCCCTGGACCTGAACATGAAAACCAAAGAGAGGATCGTGGATGAGGCCAACAAGGCCTTCGAGTACAATATGCAGGTACTGTTGGGGGCTAGGGACTGGCTCTGTCAGGTGCCAGGGCTGCAAAGGGAACTTCTGACAGCGGGAGCAGATCCAGAGCAGCCCAGGAGGGCATCCGTGCATTAGGGCAGATGAGCTGCAGGGTGCTGAGAGAAAGGTGAGGACACTAAGCTGGCCACCAGAGAGCCTGGGCCCATGGATAGGTTCCTGTCTGGAAGGGCTGGTTCCATAGATGCTTGTGAGTCATGTTTTGGGAAACTGAGGCCTCAGCACATAGAGGGGTCTGGGAGAATGGAGCTCTCTCCCCTCTCACCACAGGATGCTGGTCTTGAGGAACGGAGACTTTCCTCCTTTTAACAAGGATTGCAATGGAAAGTCCTGCTTGGTAAGTTCAGGGAAGGCAGTTTTACCAAGGAGAGTAAGGAGAATAACTGTTAGCCTTTGGGTGGGGCTGAGCCTGGGGCAGCTGATTCTGTCCCCAGAGCCCCAGGTCAGCCTTCAACTCCAGGAGAAAGTGGCTGTGGATGAGCAAAGTGCCAGGCTGAGCACAGAGCCCATCAGCCCTCCAGTGAGGCCTCCCAGGACCACTCGGGATGGGTCTGCCCTGCAGGGCTTCATTCCACATTCCTAGTTTTCTATCACTTCTTGCTAAAAAAATAACCAGCAGCTAGAATTGGGGACACACGTGTGCCCTCTTGTCTGTGCCCTGGTAGTTTTAGTGACTTGAGCTACCTCAGATAAGGCCAGGCATGGGGTACATGTCTGGTCAGTTCCTAGGAGAGACCCAACAGCCTTGTCAGGGTGCCAACAGCATGGGTGTGGCCACACCTTCCAGAGCTTGTGCTCAGGAGACAGGCCAGGCAGTGGGGCCTCCACCCACTGGGGCCACTTGCTTTGCTAGTTGGCACTCCTGAGCAAGCTCACCTGCTCCAGCTCACCCTATATGAGATATTCTCCAAGAAGCAGAGTGTGCACAGCTCAGGGATGGCTCAGTTGATCCTCTGCTCCTGCAGATATTCAATGAATTGGACCAGGCTGGTTCCACACTGGCCAGAGAGACCCTGGAGGATGGGTTCCCTGTGCATGACGGGAAAGGAGACGTACGTAAATGTCCCTTCTACGCTGCTGATCAAGGCAAAGGTAGGTCTGTCTGTCCCAAGCTCCCCTCTTGGGGCGAGTGTATCAGCAGCCCTCCCTGATGCAGTGTCTCCTGTTGGTGCTGTCATACAGGTGCCCTGGAGGGCAGCAGCTGTCCCTTCCAAACAGCCATGGCTGTGCTGAGGAAACCCAGCTTCCAGTTCATTCTAGCTGCTGGCGTTGCCCTGGCTGCTGGACTCTTGGCCTGGTACTACATGTGAAGGACTCATCACGCCACACCAGCGCCCTCCTCCCAAGTGACCTACCCCTGTCTCCACCCCAACAAACTACCACCTCAGGTGACTAAAAAAAAAAAAAATGCTGGGTTTGAGAAAACAGGAAACCAATAAAAGCCAGGCACTAGATCCTCTGCCTGACAGCATCCTCTCTGCAGGCCAGATGCTGCGCTGGGCATAGGCCATCACCCTGGGAGTCACCAGCACAGTGTAGTGGGCAGGGCAGGCCTGACCTCTGGACCAGCTGTGCTCTGGGGCTCCCACACCTCCAAGCCCCAGGCTTCTTCCCTTTGTTTCTTCCTGTTTTTGCAGGACTTGGGCGGCTGTCTTTCCCCTGCTGGGGATGAGCAGCAGTGAGCCCAGGCTGTGGGGGGTGGGGCTGAGGGTGGGTGAAAGCCAGGCTCTCTCCTGCCTTGGTGACCCTGGAGCCCCTCCCTATCAACCAGATGCCCCAGAGTTCTGCTCAGCTGTGGCTCATCTTCTCTGACTGTATAAATGTTCCAACGCTCAATAAGTGCATCTGCAAGCTTCCTCCATCCCTCCCTCCTCATGGGCGAGTCCCTCACAAGCAAGGGTGTGTGTTGTGGGGGGGGGTAGTGGACACCCTTCATGACGGTCCCAGCAGCCTCCTCCCAGCACCCCTTGTCTCCAGGGCAAAGTCATTCTGACCGTCTCACAAAAGATCCTTACAGTGTATCCGGTCCTGTTTTTTTTTGAGTTGGAGTCTCACTCTTGTCGCCCAGGCTGGAGCACAGTGTCACAGCCCCGTAGCCTCGACCTGCTGGGCTTAAGCAATCCTTCCACCTCAGCCTTCCAAGTAGCTGGAACTACAGATGCACACCATCATGCTGGGCTAGTTTTTGTGATTTTATTGTAGAGACAACGTCTCACCAAGTTGCCTAGGCTGGTCTCGAACCCACAGGCTCAGGCAGTCCTCTTACCTCAGCCTCCCAAAATGCTGGGATTACAGGCTAAGCCACTGTGCCAGGCCTGGTCCTGTGACTTTCTACTCAGAAACACTTAGGAGGTTTTTTACTAAAAGTTTTTTCTTATAAATAAGTATAAAACAAGCATGTTCTTGTATTTAAACAATTCACTGTCTATAAAATAGAAATGTGAACTTATTTTTATTACTAGGAATCTATCGCCTGTAAAAGTTTTATTCAGAAGAGGGTTAAAGGGTAGAGGAACTCTTTAAACTGCCCAAGCCTATCTCTTTCCAATTCAGACGAGTTGGGGTACAGAGAAGGCCAAGACCAGAACTGACCCAGAACCTTGGTGCCCCGACTGCTAACCTTCAGCCTCACCCAGTCTGTCTTGCTTAAGGGGATGAGGGTGCCTGCCCAGGGAGGAATGATACCACACTCAAGCTTGGGGGTTTCCTGCTTGCACATCCTATGGGTGGATGCCATGGCGTGTAGGTGGTCGAAACAAGTTTCAGAGGAAGGAAAGTGACCTTCAGCCACTGCTCAAGTCCTGGAGTTGACTTATGCCCAGGCCTGGTCACAGCTGGAATTCCCAATGCTGGTCTACACCTGACTCTGGTTTGGTATAATTAGGTCCTTAAATGTCAGTGTTGTCCTGGACAGTTGGCACCGCATAAGCACTGAGGTGTGTTGCGATCCTGAGGGCTCAGCCCCCTGCCCTGCTGGTAGACTACCTGCAGCCCCACCCTCTTTCCCTCAAAAAAGAAGGAAGCAGGCAAGAGAGCAGAGGTCCAGGGTGGGGGACTGAAAGGGCCAATTTAATGAGAAACTACAAACTGAGACTGGGCCACAATTCACAGTGACAGGAGGCCATGCAGTGGCAGTGCGAGACCAGGAGAGGGACAGCGGCAGGTTATAGCAGTCCAGGTGAGCAAGTTCACAAACAAACCATTCAGGAAATAAACATAGGTTTCGGCCTGGGCCTAGGGCAGGGCAGGGCTGGTGTCCACCAGGGCACTTCCGCTACTATGGCTGCTCCTTCCTCGTCCCCAGCCCCAGTGCAGGGTGTTCCTGTGTGAGCAGGCACAGCAATGCCCCGTTAGCTGGGACGAAGGGCCAGCACTTCCTGGGGAGACTCCACCAGTGGAGAGGTCATGGCAGGCCTGAGCGCACCCACAAGGGAGCCCCTCCTCTGCCAGCGCCTGTCCCAGCTGGGACATACCAGCCACCAGGTGGTCACACCCACACACAGCAAAGACACGGGGGAGACAGGACTGGCGAGGCTGATGGGCATTTCTTCTGGCCCCAGCAATACAGGAGTTCACAGAGGCATGGCCAGAAAGGGGGTCTGCACACTGATTCAGGGAGCTGGGTGAGGGGTTAAGAGGCAAGTTCCTTCTTGGCCACTAGGGCTCGGTCACTCAACCAGTGTCCTCTCCCCCTCACACCAGGTAGCTCTCGGGCCCTTGGACAGGGTGTTAGAGGTGGTTTGGACACGTGAGTTCCGAGGGCCAGAGTTGGCAGTCATTACATCCGACCATCATGCCACACCTCTAGCACCCCAGAGGCGCAGGGTACTCCCAAAACAAAGCCAGGCCTTATGATCCTGTCCTGCTTGGGTCCAGCTGACTCCAGACAACTCCCCCATTCTTGGCCCTGCAGATCAAAAACAACTGTGGCTATAGGCACAGTCATACTGCAGGCCCCAGGCCTAGAGAACTGGCTACTGGTCTGGCTGCTTTTGGTCCCAGGGAGTCAGGACTGAACCTGTACCTTGTATAGAAACGGAGGAATGAAGATTCTGGTGGGAAACCCCTCCAAGCTTATCTTCCTGACCACAAACACCAAGTAGACCAGCAACACTTAAGCTCAGTGCCAGCCTTCTGTCCTGCCATCCACTAGCCCTTGGCCTTAAATCCAACAGAATTTTTGCTGGAAGAGTCAGATGCTCAGGGTAGGGCAAGGTGAAGAGGACAAGACTTCCAGGGGACAGTGTCATGGCTTCCAGCCCCATGTGAGAACAGGGAAGAGACCACTGGTGGGGAGCAAAGCACAGGGGGCCAGACTAACAGGCAGGGGAGTCCCGAGTCCCAGCTCCGTTAGCACAGGCGCTTGTACGTGTAGATGTAGGCTTTGCAGCTGGGGCACGTGTGTGTCACATCCTTGAAGTCGTTGATGAGGCAGGGGATCAAGCAGCAGCCCAGGTCACATCTGAGTAGAGACAGAGACAGGCTCAGGCCCAACAGGCAGGGACAGAGGTGGCAGCAGACCCTGGCGAGGCCCCCACCGTATAAGCACCCACACCACCTACCCCATGAAGCAGCAGAAGAAGCCCAGCACAAAGTTCATCAGGCCAATCTCGTAGGATATCTTGGTGGTGATGGCCTGCTGGCAGTGGGGACACACTGTCTGCACAGGCGCTCCTTCAAAGATCTCTCCTTGCAGCACTGTCACTGTGGTGGCAGCCCCTGAAGGGACCAGGACTGTGGCTGTGTGGCCCCCAGGTCCAGGGTAGGGCCCTGGGGGGTAGGGCCCTGGGGAGTAGTAGCCCATGGGTGGGTGGGAGCCTGGAGGAGGGTAGAAACCTGAAATAGCACAGAAGTTGGAGCAGAGAGGTCACTGGCTGTTGCGCTCCATAGATGAGTGATGAGCCCCAGCCCTACAGCCCCCAGCATCCAAGGGCACAGGGCTGGGCCTGAGGCTTCCTGTCATCCTTCTAGTGGGATGACCAGGGCTTTGAAACAAAATGACTGTCTCCTAGCCTTTCCTAATCCCCAGCCCATGAGGGCCAAGACAGGTGTGGCAGAGAGCCAGGAACGTGGCTCTCTTGGGTCACCTGCCTGTGGCATGCAGGGGGTGTGCTCAGCCACAAGCCCATGACCACAGAAGCCTTGTGGCTCACCAGCCCCTCTCCTGCACACAGGGTGCTTGTCGCCATCTGTGTCATGTGTGCCAAGCCACCCCCACCCCGAGGAGCTGCTCCCGTGTCTAGGCTCCATCCACACACAACCTGAGCTCACGGCCAGGACTGGCTGGGCATGTTGGCAGTCCCTGCCCCGCAGCGGATAGCTGCCCAGACTGACCAATGACTGGCTGCAGCAAAAGCCAGACAGCAGCCAAGACCTCCCATTGCCCCTCCCAAATCCCTTCCCAACTCACCTGGAGGCACGTAGGCGCCATCTGCACTCACGTGGGGGGGGATGAAGCCAGGCTGGGGCATTGGGTGACCTGGTGGCTCATAGGGTGGGGGGCCAATGTCTGCAGGGGGCAATGGCATGCCCGGTGGGGGCTGCATCACAGCTGGGGATGTACGGCCTGGACAGAGAGAGAGAGAGAGAGGAGGCTTTCAGCTGCAGTCTCAGCACAGCGGGCTGGGCCGGAGGTCACTACTTTGAGACATATTTGGGGCCCAGGGCAGATACTGGGGAGGGGATGGAAGCACCACTCAGAGCCCCACCACACCCAGGGAAGGAGGGGCGGTTGCAACAGGGACCCTCAGAAGCCCTGGTCCCTACCTTGGCTGGGTAGGGCTCCACTCTTCTCCTCCAGAAGCGGGGCTGTGGGGCCCCCTGGGTAGGGAGGAGGTGGCTCGTTTGACATCTTCACTGCTTCTCCTGGGCCTGGAAGGAAAACCAGACATGAACTGAACTCCCAGCCAACCTGCTTCCCACGTGAACCCTGGGCAGCAGCGAGGGATGCTGCACAAGGCAGTGACCACCCTCAGAGGCGAGGGCTGAGCCCAGGCACACAGGGCCCCCTGTGGCTCCTCCTGCTGATGTCCCCGCCCTCAGGCCTGAGCTGCCGCCTTCCACTTCCCTCCAAGCTGAGTCTCCAAGCTGCAGGAGGGGCGGGGCTGTGGAGAGCAGTCACTGGTTCCCTCCAGGCAGCAGGGACACCCCACCTTCCCAGAGCACAGCAGCCCAGAGCCATCTGCTCACCTCTCAACGGTCACCTGTTGTTCCTGTTTGGAAGCTGGAGGACAAAGACAACCCAGGAGGCAGGGCCCAATGAGGTAAGGTCCCCTGTTTCAGTGGTGTCAGGAACCTCATCCAGGTCTCCCCGTGAGAGCAGCTGGGCCTAGTCCTCCGTCGTGAACATTTAGGGGACACTGAGGAGCTCACTGAGGAGATACTGGGCCAGAGGCTGCTGTGGTCCAGGGCAGGGGTTGTGGGGGACTCTTAACCTCAAATCCCTGGTACTTAGAGAAGGGAGGCAGGTGAGGCTCCTTTAGCTGCTGACCTGGACGGACGGGACAGGCAGGGCTCCACAGAGCTGTTTCAGGGGAAGGACAGGCAGTGCCCTCAGCAGGGAGCAAGGGCTGTACAGCCAGGGCTGGGCCGGCCTGGGCACACCATGTGCTCCTGCTCCTCCCACTAGTCCAGCTGCTCCCTGGATGTCCAGACCACACTGTCCACACACCTAACCACTCCACCACCTCCGCCCTGCCTCACGGGTCTGCTTTCTCTCTCCCCTGAGACTGTTGGCACCCAAGGCCACTGCTGCATCCGCTGCATCCCTCCCCACCAGACCCAACAGACGGGCATCCCATGCATGAAGGATTGCCAGATGAGCTGGGTCCCTGGCTACTCCCCTTCTACTGTTTGTCTGTCTGGGGGCTGGGAAGGAAGAAGAGTGCGTCAGTCAAGGGAAACCTTTTCCCTCTTTTCTTTCACCCAATTTCTGGAACACCCGCTGCTGGGCATGGGGAGCAGGGAAGTCCGAGGTGGCCACTGCCTTTGCCCTCCTTTCCTCCTGAGTCACCTGCTTTCCCTCCTACGTAGCATCATGAGGCACTAACAGCGTTTTCTTTTTTTTGGAGTCAGAGTCTCACTCTTGCCCAGGCTGGAGTGTAGTGGCACGCTCATGGCCACTGCAGCCTCGACCTGCTGGGCTCAGGCGACCCTTCTGCCTCAGCCTTCCAAGTAGGTGGAACCATAGGCATGTGCCACCATGTCCGGCTAATTGTTTGATTTACTGTAGAGACAGGTCTTGCCATAATTGCCCAGGCTGGTCTCAAACCTCTAAGCTCAGGCAATCCTCTCTCCCCTGTCTCCCAAAGTGCTGGGATTACAAGTGTGAGCTGCCGCGCTCAGCTTAATAGCATTTTCTTTTTTTTTTTTGAGTTGGAGTCTCACTCGGTCGCCCAGACTGGAGTGCAGTGGCCGCTCCCGGCCACCGCAGCCTCGCCTGCTGGGCTCCGGTGATCCTTCCGCCTCAGCCTTCCGAGTAGCCGGAATTACAGGCATGCGCTACCACGCTCGACTGATTTTTTGATTTTATTGTAGAGATGAGGTCTCGCTGCCCAGGCGGGTCTCGAATAGCATTTTCAAGTGGGATTCGGTTACCCTTTCTTAACTGAAAATAATAAAATAATATGAACTAGCAAATTAAACACATAGTGCAAGGAGCTCTCCTGGTAGAGCCCTACCCCAAGCCTTGTGCTTATCGTGAGACCACACAGGGTGGAGGCACAGGGAGCCTGCTCTCAGCAGTCTGAATATTCAGGTTAACAAATCAGTGGCAGGGCCAGAGGGACCAAGTACAGGCTCGGGTTCAACTATAAAGCAGCCTGATAAAAACAGAAGGAAATGGATCAAAACTGTTAGAAGAAAATAGGCACAAGTCTTCATGGCCCCCCGCTAGGCACTGGTTTCTCAGACGTGGCACCAAAGCATAGGCAGTAAGAGAAAGGAAACATAAACTGGACGTCATTCACACGAAGACCTCTCCTTCTGCAAAGGGCACCACCACATTTTACAAACCATGTATGTAACAAGGACTTGTGTTTAGAATATATATAAAGAACTCTCAGAATCCTGAACATCTTTTCAGGAGGGAAATGGAAATTCAAACCACCACAAGACTATTTTATATCCACCAGGATGGCTAAACAAAAATTTTTTTTTGAGTCGGAGTATCACTCTGTTGCCCAGGCTGGAGTGCAGTGGCATGCTCACAGCCACCCTGGCGTCGACCTGCTGGGCTCAGGCAATCCTGCCTCAAACTTCCAAGTAGCTGGAACTACAGGCACACACTACCACGCCCAGCTAAGTTTTTGATTTATTGTAGAGATGAGGTCTCGCCAAGTTGCCCAGGCTGTTCTCAAACCTGTGGGCTCAGGCAATCCTCTCATCTCGGCCTCCCAAAGTGCTGGGATTACAGGCTTGAGCCACTGTGCCCAGCCTAAAATTTAAAAAGACAACTAATAAGCATTATGTACAGATATTAGAAGCCTTATACACTGTGGGGGAGGGGGCTGCTCCCGTGGCACAGTCTGGCAGTTCCTCAAAAGGTTAGAGTTGCCATGTGACCTAGCAATTCCAGCCCTAGGTATCTACCCAAGATAAATGAAAACCTGTCACACAGAAACTTGTACACATGTTCACAGCAGCATTATTCATAATAGCTAAAAAGTGGAAACAACTCTAACGTCCATGGGGTGAATAGATAAACAAACTGAGGTATATCCACACATGGGAATACTATTCAGCCCTAAAAAGGAATGAAGTAATCTTGCAGGCATATAGTATACATGCTTCAACATGGATGAACCTTGAAAACATGTTCAGAGAAAGCCAGACACAAAAGGCCACATATTACATCATTTTACTTATAGGAAATGTCCCGATTAGGCAAATCCATGGAGAGGCATGCTGAGGGCAGGGCAATTGGATGGAGCCGGGGAGCATGGAGTTCCTTTTGGAGTAATGAAAATATTCTGAAACTGACTGTGGTGATGGTTGAGCAATTCTGTGAAAATACCAAAAACCACTGAACCGTGCACTTTAAGTAGATGAATTGAATGGAATGTAAATTATATCAATAAAACTTATTTTTTTAAGCCAGGCTTGGTGGCTCAGCCTGTAATCCCACGCCTTTGGGAGGCTGAGGTGAGTGAATTGCCTGAGCCCGCGGGTTC